TGAAGCTGAACCTCTTTCTGTCCCCTAATGATATTGTTAAATGTTTAGAAAATATATTGAAACATCCACAAACAAATGCTACTTTACCTCATTTGATAATGTAATACTGCCACACAATGCATTGGACAGCCTGTATTCACGTGTATCCATTGTTTTATGAAAACAAAATATGCAAACTTTTGCAAAATATGGTACAGTTATTTTTTTTACAAATCGGACATCTAAGTTGAACCAAATAAGTATAGCAATGAACTTACTTTCTTTATAAAAAGATTTGTGGTCCTAAAAAAGGTTTTATGGAATTATTAATAGGTTTATTCCATGCTGAAAAAAGAAGAAAGAAAACACAACCTCTCACACCTGAAGAAGGCTCCACAGCTGAAACGTTGTGTTTTCTTTCTTCTTTTTTTCAGCATAGAATAAACCTATTATTTGTTCCTATGCAGCCTACGCATGCTGACGCAGCTACCCACCTGAACTACTTTATGGAATTATACCTCCTGTTTTTTTACAAGTCAAAGGGTAGGCAGATCTGACAGGGATCTGGATCTGGTCTCTGGATTCCAAAACAAGAGCATAACTCCCTCGCCAAAAGGTTCCGACAGAGAAAGGAAATATGGAATTGTCCTGCGCTGAAAGTAACATCCCTAACAAATGAGTGGAGTCATTTGTTGATCATTTGTGTTCTTTCCACGTGACCACTAAAAATATAGAAATAACCTGTGATGTGTACATTGAAAATGCAGATCAGTCATATATCATTTATAATTCAGCTTACTTATACTTAAACTCACAGAAAATCAGGTTATATGGTAATTAGGGACTTGATCCTGCTGGAAAAAATAAGTTATATGCAGATGGTTTGAACCTTCAAATCTAATTATGTCACAAATCAGAAATATTGAAATAACCAATTGAATTCCACTCTACATCATATAATTACTTTGAAATACATCATTTAATTTTTATTACAACATTTGAAGCTTTTTATAAGAGTTTAAAAACAGAGGCAATTAATTATTTTTGCAACACATTCCTGCATTATTAGCAAGTATGTAACTAAGAATATACCATTCTGATCCATTTTACAACCAAAATATGACAGGAGTAGAGCTGAAGATCCTATTTTGCTACCATGCATCCATCCACTTTCTAAGTGCTTTATCCCACACAGGGCCAGAGGAGAACTGGAGCCTATCCCAGAAGCAAGTGCAAAGCAGGATACTCTGACCCTGGACGAGACATCAGTCCTTCACAGGGCACCCAAATACACAAACATGCACACAGGCCAATTTTCCCAAAAAAACAACTAACCTAAGAGTATGCCTTTGGACTGTAGATGAAAACCAGAGCATGCAGAAAACACCAAGGTGAACACAGGGAGATCACCCAAATACCATGCAGGTACCACCCCAGGAACTGAACTGGGGCCCCCAGCACTGCGAGGCATTGATGCTAACCACTGTACCACCATTCTGCCCCCATTTTTAGCCTCCCTAATCCATAAATGGACAATATATGATTCTTGTGCCCCATTTAATAATATACAAATGAATTGCTCCGGATGCCATCCTGAAACTATGACTTATCTTGAACACTGTACCACTAAAGACAAAGATAATTAGACATTATTTTGGACAACTGCATTCCAAAACCTTTGAATCTTTATATATTAAAATTACATTTTGGTGTAGGTAGGAAAATCTGACAAGACAGCAAACATCAAATTTAAACTTGTTCAAGACAGTAAGAAAAAGAGATATCATTGCTACAACAAACAATATATAATACAATAATGGAAAAGACAAACTGCTGTGTTCAACCTTTCTCATTTTTGTACTTTTATCTTTCCAACCCGTCTCTTTCTCTTCTCCACTTAGCTAAAGAAGGCTCCATGGTTGAAATATATTTGTTCTAATAAATTTTCATTATGGAATTTACTTCTGCTTGCTCCTTTGAAGCTCACAACCTACTCTAGCTCTCTACTCTGTCCTCTTCAAAATATGTAATGTAGTTTTACAGTGAAGTTCGGGAGCAGAGACCTGTAGCCCCAAGATTTTATCAATCACCTCTTCCCTCCTCCATATAAATATGGGATCTCAAAATATCCTTCCTGACATTCTCTGCTCAGCAATCCTCTACATACCCCATCTTCATGACCCCTACCACAGCCCTAGGCTAATCTCCCTTGGGAGGTGATGCTATAATACGTTACCCATGTGGCCCATACTCTACCATCCCCAAAACACACCTCCACAGGACTTGTCAATTTTTCTTGAATTATATTTAACAAATCAGTCAATTACGTTGGAGAGTGCAAATGCGAAATCAATGAATAGCGTGATGGTTCCAACACATACATTCACAGAAGGCTGGACTTTGTCACATGCTTCAATCTCCTTTTTTTGCATGAAATCCCGGATCCATAATATGTTGATACCAAATACACATAGTTTCTACATTGTCACCATATTTGTCATTTGTGGAGAACAAACTAGATGTTTTCATATCACATCAAATAGTTCAATACTAGACAGAACCACTAATGATTCATAGCCAAAACTATCTTTGGTAGCTACTGGAAAAATGTAAATGGTTACAGAAGGCAGAAGAAATACCTTATCTACTGCACAGAATGCTGATGAATGTCAATAAATCAATTTTAGAGGCCGTCAACACAGGTTAATGCTCTGTAAGGGGTTGTTTGGATGATGTGGTTTTTACTACCACAGAACAGTTTCATAAAGACAAGAACTCTCGCATGTTAATTTTAAATAATCGGTTTGCCCTCGCAGCCTCCATGTGGAATTGAAACATTAGAATGACTTCATTAGCTTAACAAGGGTGTGGGCATGGAGAGGAAGGCAACTACCATTAAATGGGATTTAGTGTATGGTGAGACATTAATAGGAATACGGCATTCCTGCCAGAACTTTGCCTATACAACAAGGTCAAGAAACAAACTACCCAAACTGCCACAGCCTTGCACAAAATCGTGCTTAGAGACAACTGCACTTCTGTTAATTGGAATTGAAACAGTTGTGATTAAATTGGCTTTAGGAATATGTTGAGCTCATTGTTTGCTGTTTTCTTTTTGTAACACCACTCTACCAGTTTCAGCTAAAGTGCAAATAATATTGTCTAGTGAATAAAGAAAGCTATATTTCTTGGCACACAGCTGGGATGGGAATTTTTGTAAGCAACTTAGAGACTGAAGCAACTTCACTGAGAGTCTCTGGAGAACACTGTATTAAAAATGCTAATGTGGGAAACTGTGAGCATCATAACCAGCTTGTTTTTGGTTCAGTGTTGCTGCAACTTGCAGCCTTAGAATTTTACAAGGAGTGCAATCCTGATTGTTCAGTGGGTAGATTTTTACATACAACTCCGTCTTCTTCATTATTTATATGTATTTATGCTATATTGAAGCATTTCTAAAGCAAAAATGCAAAAAAAAGTTCGTTATTAAGATATGAATGCACTGATTTTAAAGTATTATAGCTGTAAAAGAATGTGACAGAAACCAATGAGAATCTAATTATTATTATTCGCACAATTATATTTTAATCTAGATTTTCAAATACCTGGAGTAAATGCAAGTCTTTTAGAGACCTACTGATCGCACAAATTCCTGGTTTTAATTTAGGTAAACCATTGAAGTAATTTCTTTAGTGTTTGGACTAGACATCATGCAGTTGGTAATTAAATGTGTACAACCCCCAGAAATCAGTACTGTGCAAAAGTGGGTTATGCCAACTAAACCTCAACATGTAAAACCTACACTAAAATCCATACTAAACTGGTCCTAATAGCCCATGTAGGTAAAATATTACGGGGAGTTATGATAGGTCTTTTAAGGCTTTCGACATTCTTAGTGTTGATCATTTGCAATATGCACAGGCTACTTTTCACATAAAAGTACTGCATAGGCCTACATTGGAATCAGTAATTTTATACACGTATAAAAATAAAACAACTGGACACACAAAACCCCTTTAAGCTCAGCAATAGCAATAGGTTCGAGGAGCAATAACTAGAAACAAACTCAAGGTGCCCTATTTTTAAAACAGGGATACAAGTGATACGAGTGCCTAAGTGTTTTGAATATAGGACGCAAGGTATATAGAGCATGATATTGAAAAGCGCTGCCTTTGGGAAATGAGAAAACAAATGTCCCATGTGATGACAGTAAAGTAACAATAAAGCATTCTGTATCTTGGAAAGATGTTTGTCCGTTCCTCCTATGTGTTGAAAAGGTAAGGAAGAGGCAAGCTATTTTCAAAGATTATTCATGCGTAAATTTGTCAGAGTGATCCAGAAACTATTGGAACATTGTCAAATGAATGGAGATATTCGTATCAGGCAATGCCAAGACCATCCGCAGTAATAAGTTCGGTGAAAGCTGTCGTTATACTGTAGATACCGCTTTGATGGTTGAAAATGTATAGTAACAAATAAGTTTTCATCCTAAAATGGCGACAATATTAACGAAACGTTTTTTTTAAGATCACATAAATATAGAAATTATCAAAGACAGTATCGAAACCATTTTTAAAAAGTTATTTTTTCTCTTCACCGAAAGCTCCAAAAAGACACATATTAAAAAATAAACTGCTGCTACTGGTCTTTTCAGAAACCTTCTTTTTTCACTGTATACTATTAAACAACATACGGTTAAACCAACGATGAGCATGAGAATCCGCCTAAGCATTTCGTGCAGCTTAAAGAAAAACTAGCTTGATGATCAAAATATAACTTACTGCCAAGCACCTTACTAAAACCTAGCCGACAACAACGCTTAATCCCGCTGTTTTTTATATTTCACGTTGAATGAAATAATGCTGCTTAACAGCACGACTGCTTGTTCTTTAAGAGCTGCTTGTTGATCCTAGAGAGAAAACAACACGAATCATCTTGATTCTGTATATTTTCAGGGCTGGCATTACCGATGCATTTCATGTGGACGTCAGTTTGTGAAATTTCCCCTTATAGGTTGAGCTGCGTGTTGATTTGAGAGTGGAAAAGGTTGGTTAGGTTCCAGATCTCTACTGGCTGGTGTTAGCTGCGCACATACACTCTGAACGAGCTGGTTTGGAGATGCCAAAGCGCCTCCTCACTGTTATGCACTCTAATACAAAGCAGAGGGATCCGGTAGCACAAGCGGGAACTATCGACTGATCTCCAGGTTTAGAGCATATCCAGGGAACCTTGCTCCCTCATTAGGTCTTCTTTTGGATCATAGACTAGGATGCTTTGGTGATGGGTGTTGGATTAGAGCCCAGGAAATCTCTCCCTCCCTTGGAAAGCCAAAGGTACAGCTTTCTTACAGCAGAAAAGAAGTTTCGTTTTGAGTTACAGCAAATCTGGAAATAAAGCGACGAGCGCTGAAAGGAATAATAATCAAAAGAAAGACCGCTGGACATTCTGTGCTAGAGAGGGAGTTTAATGTCAATCACATTTGGATTTTATTTATATATTTGTCCTGCTGAAAAACGATAGCGCTGGGAGTACGGTACTTGGATTGTGGAGAGCTCTACCCTTGGAAAACGAATGAGACTCTTTTTTGGTTTGCCATGGGAATGCTGATTTATAAGCATTAGAGGTCAAATGATAATCTTCACTTGTTCTTTAATCTAAACATTGTATTTATGAAATGGAAAAACGGGGACTCTACGGTGTCCTTTATTATCTGATGTTAAATGCGCCCCTATTATTGTATGTAAATGGTAAGTAAACTTGCTTAATTCTATTTGTGATTTGGTCAACGTTTTAAGTGCTCTTTTTTCTAAAAAAAAAGACATATAGAAAAAGCTATTTAACAGTGACCTGTACAGAGAAATTTATTTTGTCACAAAGTATTAAATGTATCGTAATACATTTATCCATTTAGTATCATAAAACTCCAGCTGTCGACAGACGTTGTGGATAGGTCTTCATCCTTCATTACTGCGATTGAATGCAAGTCATTACTTGATATAAAAGAAAACAATTGTTTTTCAAGAACAATGTTTTAGCCTTGTGTATTAATGCTGATTTATCGTGATTATCATCGTTCTTATTATTCATTTTCTTTGAAAAAGTGCTAGATCAAAGCGGAATATTCTACCCTTGTGAGAAGCACACCCACTCACCCCCTACACACGCACACACTAAAACGCTAGTTCAGTAAAGACGCTATTGTGCATTCATAGCGCAAGTGGATAGAAATGCTACGATATTCCTTCCAGAAAATATTATGCAACCCCTTAACAGAAATCTCTTAGGGAAAGATAGACATTAGCTTTTAGACAGATTTGTCAATACTGGAATGCTTCAGGCTACTCTGAACTTGAAGCCCACTTTATACTGTACATACAAATAATAAGGGTTTACTTATTATTTTACTTACTGTGTGATAGGTATTGAAAAGGTAGGAAGTTGCTTCTTTACTTTCTATGACGATTGAGGAAGCTAACACTGAATTCTCAATCCTATTTTACAAATACAAGTGTACAAATTTGCAAATTGAAGTACAGTTTATAGAGAAATTATTGAAAAGAAAGCCTGAGATCTACATTAACTGATTTCAAAACCGCACAAATGTGTATTTTAAAAGAATACCCCTGTGTTTTCCTTTAGTGCTTGTTCGTGTTCTTCATTTTTTATTGAGAAATGTAACTGCAGCATAATTTGCTGAAACGTGAGATTTAATTGAGGAGGAGATAAAAAGCTTCAAGTTCTTGAGTGAATCCAGATCAGATTGCATTGAAAAAGACTGATCTTGTCTCTTAATCTTTCCCGTTAACCACTGCCTTGCTATTCTTTCCTTCTGTCAGCGACATTTACTGAAGTCCCCAAAGATGTGAGTGTCAGTGAGGGAGAAGATATTGAGATGCCTTGTGCTTTTCGGGCCAGCGGATCCACGTCTTTCTCCCTGGAGATTCAGTGGTGGTATCTTAAGGAACCAGCCGCAAGAGAACTTGCACATGAACTGCAAATTAGTGCCCCTGCAAACAGAGCTAAGGTAAATGTGACCAGACGCCTTCTACCCCCAGAATGACAGAAGCTTCTTTAAACCATACATGAGGACAGGAGGTCAATATGGTGCAAAGCTTCTGCCTCACCTGGCGTGACCATGGTGCAATATCGGTTCCCTTTTTTAATTGTGTGAATGCCTAGCCGCAACTGAAAAGCGTTCTTACAGTGGAGGTGCTGTATTTATGTGGAGCTAACTAAAACCATATAAGGCCATTAATAGTGATACATGTTTATTTGGAACTCTCATAAACCATGAGAACTCGTTGGGCTTTAGGGTTAAGTAAAAGACCAAAAGATATAATTGAAATGTCTAGTGAATCATGACAGTGATGTCAAATTATTTATACAAGTCCATACCCGGTACTGATCGCTGTGCTGTATGGTAAATCGCGATACTGAATACCAGTCAAACAGGTGCCCTGTGTATCTGAGTATTTTCCTTCTGTCGTATTTATGTCTATAAGCGTCACGCAACAGCATAGACTACTACAGTTAAGGTAAAAAAGCACAGGATTAAGAAAAGCTGAGCGTTTTATTTCTCGTTACCTCCAATTATGTGCATACAAAACTTTCTATGTATTTAAAATCGTTCATGTACTTAACACACTAATTACTACGTGTACTACTACTGTTCAGAAAGCATATTATCTTTGGCTATGGTCTTTAATCCTGCCTAATATTATAAAACCGAAATGCACAGTGCGGCTTAAATGTGATTATACATTTTAATTGGCAAACCACTCCCAATTGGGGAATCATTTTAATTGTCCCCACATAACGTAATGTTTATGCTGATCTCCTGAGCTTAGCTGTAACGTTTGTGACCCTTTCTGCTTTCAGGTGGCTCACAGAGACGCCACGAAGATCAGTGTGAGTGTTTTTCTTCCCTTGTTGAGTTGTAGAATTGTTGGTTTAGCGGCTGCTATCACCACTTGTATTGTGCTACATACTCGTTTTAATTACACTCGAGTAAATCAGCCGAATTTGAGTTAAGGAGATATTGACCACAGGTGAACAAAGGCAGGAAAAATCCATCTAATTGGGGTGCCTCAACACTGTGGATGTGTACTCGGAGGACAGTGAGTTTGAATTAGCCGGAATGCGTGAAGTAAATTGAACAATCCAATCGAAGATGGCAGCAGGATGAGGGAGTACACATGTTTATAAGACTTTACAAATTTCCCTGCGAGCTACGAATAAAATTATTCCGACGGACCCCTTTACGTCATGTACCAGTAGAAACGATAGTTTTCCATTTGTCCATTTGAGACTGCAAGATTGTCTCCACTGTATCTCCACTATCCATGTGCTTTTATTAGCCATGGATGAAATAAATGCATGTAAATGCATACTGATGTTGCAGTAATTTTCATCAGCTGTGATTTACATTTTTGGTACATAGTAAGCTATATTTTAAAAATCATGTTGCACCTCTAAAAATACATTCTCAAACTGAGAGACTACTACTGTATATTGCATACAATTTGAATTTACGCGTCTAGATTCATCACGATTGTACGGAAATAACTATTCCCAAACTGCCTGAAAAAAGGATATGGTTTGATTAAATAATCATTGACTAAATGCATAACTGTAAAATATGTTTCTAATTGTTCTATTTGCACAACTGTTTCTATTTGTTTAACGTAAGGTGGATGGTTGCGTTTTAGACCCTGGTTTTTAATTTACCAAGAAATTCGGTTGTACTATTATGTAAGAAGGGAATTCTGGTGTTGTTAGTGAAAGCGTGCAGTTATCTGAAAATATAAGGGTGTATTTTACCGTCAGTAAAATTCAATTTAATCAAAATGTCGAGTGCATAGAATTCATTTTAAGTTCCAATATCACATTTGGATGGTGCCTTTTGAATTAGGAAGTGTTTTTAATGCCTGTGTTACAATTCCCTTTTTGCAGACTGTCAGAGTACAAGGCAATGACATATCTCACAGGCTGCGACTCTCTAATGTGAGAAAAGTGGACGAGGGGGTATATGAGTGTCGGGTGTCCGGCAACAGTGGTGACGAGACTCAGGAACACAAAGCCCAGGCAACGTTGCGGGTCACCCCTCGCGATGGCATGTTGGCAGAAGAGGCCGTCTCTCATATTCAGAATAGATGGCCCCTTAGGAACAATCCAGCCGGCAAAGCCACCTCTGAGCCTGGCCAGAATAAAAGTCGTGTGCCATCCTCTGAAAGAGCTGGCTCAACAACAGCAGCAGCTGCTGCCACATCCTCAGCTTCGCCACAGCCTGGAAATGCGGCCATCCTCCGACAGGAACATGGAACCGGTGAGTCAAAGAGCCACAGTGACATCTAGTGGTCTCAGTTTTAAAATTGCGTATTTTTTACTGCTATTTGTGTTTGGAGAATTCTGCTTTTTTTAAGCCATCCGGTTTACTTATTTTTCTCGCAAATTTTCAATGCCTTGAAAATCGAATTCCATAGATGATTAATCTTTTACGACAAAAAAACACGTTAGATATTTGCTTTAAAATATTTACCTCATCCAGAGTACATGTTTGAAGTGGTTCCTGAATGTAATTATTGGATGATACATTTTAATGTTATGAAATATGAGGATTGCTATTATTGTATTACATGGTGTGTCTGAGTATGTGTGAAACAATTTTAGTCATGCCATTATATATACTGAGGTGTATCATCAGGCATTATAATTTGAACTTCTAGCTGGTACTAGCACTAATGACTTTATAAGATTGATAATGAATTCTGATATTCATACTCTGAGTAAATATATATATAAAATAAAAGTCTTGCCCTCCACTGAATTGCAAAGTAGTAAAATATTTATTCCTTTTATAAAACCATTAAAAGAGTATATTTTCTTTATTGTGATGAAACATTGTGTAATGTAGTATGTTCAGGACTTTCTTATAAAAGCTTTACTTGTGCTGTACCATGGTAAAAACAGAGTAAAGTGTAGTAAATCACAAGGAAAACGTGGAAGGATCATAGTATAGTGGAGAGGTGTGCTTCTCTTAGAGTAAAAATTGCAAACAGAAGAAAATATATTACTTCTTTGTTTCAAATACAACAGAGTGTATGATGTGCCAACACAAAGGCATAGCATAAAAAAACAATGACATTCACTTTGCCAAATACATAGCACTTCACCATCTCACTGAAAAAAGCAAAAAATTGTTTTAAATCAGACTGAACATGTATGTTTGGAGAATTAGCTGCAGGACAGCATGCATGTTTGTTCTGCATAAATCAATTTAGCAAATCTCAGAATAACTGCATTTCACAGAATGCGAAGAATTTCTAACTTACCAATTTTGTTGATCATAGCAAACTACTGTATACATGCAATTACAAAAAAGGCACAGTTGCATACTGTTTTTTAGCTGAAATATCCTATTTGTTTTAAAATAATTTAATGGAAAATAAATCAGATAAAATAATTCTGCATTAACACCTTGAACACTACAAGATAATGTGATATGTGGTTAGCCTGGTTCCTAAATGTGGCTCATTATGGAATTATGACAGAATTAATTTGGGTTTGACTACTATAGACAAGTGAGGATACAAAAGGTTCAAGATTCAGCAGAGGAATTTGAACTACCCGTGTCTTTAATAAAACATCAACATTTTCTCTTAATTGTGGGCTTTGCTGAGGTTAGAAATGCTAGTGTTGTAGTTTAAGATTTGACTCAAGATTTGACTCAGACTAGCATCAGAATACCTCTTGATAGATTATTTACTATGTCTCCTATCACCATAGGAATGCAACTTAAATCATTCAGAAATAAAACAGTAGTGCTGCTTAAGTGTCAAATGTTGGTGCAAAATGGCTGATGTTTCTTGCTGCAGTGCAAGTGCACTGAGATGCCATTGATACAGAAATAGTGGGCAGTGACAAGACTTCATTCTATGCACAGAACATTCTTCTTCTGCATTGCACAAGGTCTGGTGATCCTGGACTGTTGGAGTGTTTGATCTGTCTCTGTTTGTTGTCTCTTCCGTATTGCAAGAGTGTTTTCTAAAAACAGCGCATCATATTTAGCTCAACAAACTGATCCACATTTTTGGGTAGTATCACATGGGTAACATTTCTTCAGTTTTAGAATTTGTAAAAATAAGTATCCTTTCGACTCTTTAAAGTTCATGAGAGAATGAATATGCTGGATAAAGCAAAACTAGAGTGATAACTGAATGAGATTCTATATAAACTGCTATATAGATTTCATTTGTACAACAGTGTGTAAATTATAAATGATACTTAAATATTATAATATTAAATAGAATTTGTCTTGACCTCATGTAGGCCTTCAGATATGTGTCATCACATTTTGAATGTTAAAAGCCATGTGGCAAATTTAAAAGATCTCCCTTTTAACAATACTCTAGAAATTCAAAACAGTCCTCCAAAATGCCCACATCTGTCACTTTTCACAATGTCATTTTACTGAGTGGCAGAAACAATTAATATTAAACAGAAAATGCCAAAGGCAAGTCTCAGATAAGCCTAGTTTTCAACACTCTGTCAGGTGTTTAAAATTGCCTATTACATTTTCATATCTCATTAGTTATTTCTGTATGACTGCTGGAATAAGAGTGTAACAGAATGAGGTGTATGATTAAATATGTATTCTGCCCATGTCTGCTATAGAAAAGGATATAATAAAAGGAATAAAAGATTTGTTGATTGCAATTTTAATACATATGTTTCATATAAAAATGATAGATATATAAAGTCAAATGTATTGTAAAAAATGTACATTAATTAAAATGACTCATGATGTTATCAGCTGGAATTTAAAGAGAGTAAGTTAACATTTTATGTATTATGTCCTGTTTTTATTAACGGAACATAAAGAAATCTGCAGAAGAAAAACAGTAGACTTATTAACACGTGGAAACACTGTGTGTTGTGCACCTCAGAGGCCTGTTAGCGACTTCAATGAGCACTGCTTAAACTGTCTCAAAATAATGCAATATCAGCTGTTTATTACCAGCTGTTGAAGTTAGCTTGAAGTTGTATGAATTACTTCAAGGTAAAAGACTTCTGAAATGGTTAATGGGCTCCTTTTCTTACAAAAGCCCTAGATGTTAATTTCCATTGTTCCTATATACAGCGAGAAAAGAAAGAATACAATTTTTTATTTTATATTAAATATTATTAAATGTTTTGATGTTTTGGCAGTACCTGTACTGTATTTTGAGTAGAATTAAACTGGCTTATTTTACACAGAAATGAAAATAAACAAATTTGCAGGTTGTGCATTGTGAGTATTTGGTGTGTTACAGTATTTCAAAACAGATGGCCTGAAAAGATTAAATTCCCTGCCAGAGAATTGTTAATTCCACAGCCATTGATCACATCATATTGTTTCTTGTAAGCAAGCTTGCATTGTATGCCCAAGGATTAAGACTTTTCTTGCACTAAGATTTCCTTGTCCGAAGTACATTCAGATGAACAGCCTGATTCCCCAGTCATTTCCTTTTAGTTTCAAAGCACAGAGAAGTAATGGGCTGTCAAATGCATGTTTTCTGTTGGAAAAGTCATTGTTGCAGAAAAGAAAAAAAGCAGTTATTTTTTTTCCATCTTAGAAGAAAACAGCTTTTTTTTTTTTACTAACCTGTTAAAACATGAGGAGATCTTTTGCTGGCTACTGAGTAGGGACTATTGGCAGGTAAGCAATTGTTCTCCAAGGGGAGTGGGTCAGGCTGGTAGGAAGCTAGACAGCATGACATGCTGTTGTTGGAACCTGCAGGAATTCAATCTGTAATGTCAAGAAACTGCAATGCAATCCATGGCCTTATACCCCAGCCTGACCTTGGCTGCCGAAGCCAATGTATTTAAAGCTGGTTAGACAGCTGTCCTATTTCTCTTTAATTTTCTACCATTTGCTTTAATAGTGTTGTTTGTAGCTGTTCTGTTGCGTAATGGACTTGATTATCTTAATGCTATTAACAATGTAGTGTATATACACAATACTGATTGATGGTTTTGAAGATCACAACAAGCCTGGCATTCTATGTTAGAAAAGAGCAGAATGTTCTTTTCTTTTCATGTTCAGTTAAAACGTGAGAAGTGTTAAACCTAAGAATGCACAAACTGAATCTCATATACTTACACATAATGCTTAATTGATAGATGAAATGGTGTGGCTAGGTATTGACTTTATGATGTGGTTAGACAGTTTCTCACTTATGAGTAATTCTGCTGCTACAGGTTTTCATTTAACTGATGTGTTTTTGTTTTCGCTTGTGCTTTGTTTCTCACTTTAATTACATCTTTTCTTCCTCAACCATAACTTAGACAGGCTACATGTTCGCTTAATGTAACACGTAGTAGCAACAGAGGCTGCGTGAGTGGAATACTGGCACAGACATATCCAGGGAGGATGCTTCTGCTGCAAAGATTGTCTTTCAGGGAAAAGAACAAACTGAGTCATCAGAGTCGACTGTTTACTGACGAGAGGATGGGAGGCAGAATTATGTTAACAAAGGAAAAGAAAAATAAGAATAAAGCAATAATTGTCTGCAGTCAGCACCAGAAATCTGTTTTGCTTTGATAAACAAAGTGCCACACTCTCAGAGTGCTCTAATTGTCATTGTAATTTAATTCTTTAACAGATTCTCATGAAGTTCGATGTTTGTTGTTCTGTTTGCATGTTGGTTTTAGCACATCTGCATAATTTCTAAATGTTGAAAATCCATCCACAACGTTTAGCAGTTCAAGCTAATGTCTTTCTTAAATAAAACTGATAGAAGATGCCTGCCTTTCATTTAAATAGGTGTTATATAATGATTATGGGAATTAATATTAATGAGCTCCTGCCATTTCACAATGTTTGTAAGAGTAGAACCTTCTACAGAGACTTCTGAGTCTATCTTTTGCATATATAAAGTTACATATATAGCTATCGCAGACAGCTGTCACCCTATCAGTGCTGGCATATCTAATACTGACCAGTGAAATGAAAGAAGTGGAAGTAGGGGTCTCCTTATAAAGTAACATCCCCTCTCCATACTCTGAAACTCCAAAAGCTAATTGATATTAATTGCTTTACTTCATAACAACTGAATTTTCTTAAACATAATTTGAACATTGCAATTCAGAAAGCTGTTCCATCTGATAATCTATGTTTTCCAATATTCTATTTTTTGGAGTATCAGTTAAACAGTTAATCAGTAATCAGTACAATGCCTGCAACTATTGAGCATCTTTTTTCCCAAACGTATTGCACATCCCCATCAGTATTTTTCCCCAAGTTTTTGTGCATCTATGACAATACAGGAAGAGTTTCCACTGAAC